GCTGCGTTCTGTTATTATTTTGCCGCGGTGCTTTTGACCCTTCGGTACCGGGCGAGTTCATTGCGGCGCTGTCGCGGGGGTGTCAGCCGGTAGTACGTCCACACCGCGCACTCCACCGCGTATCCTCCTTTTCCTCCTCCTCCTTTTCCGTCCGTCTGGCGGCAGCCTCGCCGGAGCCAGCCGTGATCGTCAGGCGCGAGGATCGTCGACGGGGCGCGTCCCTAAGGCGCCCGTCGTCCCGTCGGTCCCGTCGCGGGCTCCCGGGGACCCCGGGCTCCTTCGAAACAGAGTGCAAAGGAGAGTGCAGGAGACATCGTCGACGAGGGAAAGACGATACCACGTGATAGTCCTCGAGAACGAGCGAACGGCCAAGTGTAGCGAGTCAGTCAGTACTGTCAGTAGTCCGTGAGGCGTCACGCGGTGACGCCGCGATCTCGTCATAACCTGAAAGAATCTGAAATTGCCTGAAGGAACCGGCGATATCGAGAGTGTTCCATTTGCTCTCGATCATTTCGTCTCCCTCGTTTCTTCTCTTTCTCGCGCGCGCCAACGAAAACAAACCCGGGTCTTACGAGCGCGGGATTAATATACCACCTCGCCACCTGATCCGGTGGCGCGCTCGCGTCCCTGTTTCGGAGTACGGGACTGTCAACCGCTTCGTTCTGACTTCTGACGGAGCGGAGGAGCGGCAGCAGGAGAAAGGTGTTCCACGCACACGGGAACGGGAATCTCAGTGAAGAGACCCTTCGGTGCGCTTCGGCAAAGCGGCCGAGCGGTGGAGCGGAGTGTCCACGTGTGTGAGTCACAGTCGTCGACAGATCGTCAAACCACCGGTATACCGACATTATCAACGCTATTATCGCCGCGCACGTTACGCCCAACCGCGCGACGCGCTCAATCGTCGCCTCGCGAATCCGTTTCTTCGCGTCCTCCCATCGCCTTCTTTAGGGAAAGATAGAGAAAGAGAAAGAGAGAGACGCGCCGGCGGATACCAACAGTGAAGTTTCACGGCCGCGACCCGATTGCGATCGGCGAAAGGAAAGGCACAACGAGCGAAGAATACAATCTCGCGCGCGCGTTCGCGCTCGTGTTCCTGCGTGTGCGTATCTGGTGTAAGCGCGCCCGTGTGTGTGTGTGTGGGCGGTTGTGCGCGCGTGTGCGTGTTTTTCTGTGTG